GGTAATGCATAGTTGGGTTTTGATTTTTAATCCAGCATGAAAATTCTCATTTTTAAATTAGTGTAATTATAGTTTTATGTGTGTTATTTTTTGTTTTTTGAGATGGAGTCTCACTTTGTCACCCAGCTGGAGTGCAGAGGCTTGACCTCAGCTCACTGCAACCTCTGCCTCTTGGGTTCCAGAAATTCTCCTGCCTCAGCATCCCAAGTAGCTGCGACTACGGGTGCATGCCACCACACCCAGGTAATTTTTGTATTTTTGCTAGAGACAGGGTTTCACTATGCTGGCCAGAATGGTCTCGATCTCTTGACCTCGTGGTCTGCGCACCTCAGCCTCCCATTTTCACTACCCTGAATATTTCCTGGTCTCAGCCTATTCACCCACTTCTCTCCTGTAATCCTTGGCAACTACTGATCTTTTTACTGTTTCCATAGTTTTGCCTTTTCCATAATGCCACAGAGTTGTAATTATAAGAGTATGTAGCCTTTTCAGATTGGCTTCTGTCACTTAGGAAAATGTATTTAAGGCTCTTCCATGTCTTTTTATGGCTTGGTAGCTCATTTCTTTTTGGAGTTGAATAATATTCTATTGTCTGAATGTACGACAGTTTATTTATCCCTTGACCTACTGAAAGACATCTTGGTTGTTTCCAAGTTTTGCTACTTGTCAATAAAACTGCTACAAACATGCATGCACAGGTCTTTGTGTGAACCTGTGAAAGTTTTCAAGCCAATTGGTGAATACCAAGGAGCATGACCAATTATATGGTGAGAAGACAGATTTAGTTTTGTAAGAAAAAGCCAAACTGTCTTCCAAAGTGGCTTCAGACCAGCAATGAATGAGAGTTCCTCTTTCTCCACCTCCTCACCAGCATTCAGTGTTGTCCATGTTTGGCGTTTGGTCATTCTAGCAGGTGCGCAGAACCTCATTGTTTCTATTTGCATTCCCTGATAACATAGGATATGCAGCATCTTTTCATGCACTTATTTACCATCTGTGTATCCTCTTTGGTGATTATCTGTTCAGACGTTTTGTCTGTTTTTTAAATGTGTTGTCTGTTTCCTTATTATTGCATTTTTAGAGTTCTTTGTATATTTTGGATAGCAGTCCTTTATAAGATGTGTCTTTCACTAATATTTTCTCTTAATCTGTAGCTTGTCTTTTTATTCTTCTCACGGTGTCTTTTACAGAACAGGAATTTTAAATTTTAATGAAGTCCAGCTTATCAATTCTTTCTTTTATGGAGCATGGCTTCGGTACTGTATTTTAAAAGTCATCATTAAACCCAACAATTATTTCCCATGTTATTTTCTGGAAGTTTTGCAGTTTTGCATTTTACATTTGGATTTGTGATCTTGTTTGAGTTAATTTTTGTGCAGAGTGTAATGTCTATGTCCAGTCATTTTGCATGTAAATGTGCAGTTGTTCCAGCGCATTTATTGAAAAGACTTTCTTTTCTTCATTTCTTCACTTCATTGTCAAAGGGCACTTGACCACTTGGATGTGACCTATTTCTGAATTTCTGTTCTGTTCCATTGGCCTGTGGTCTGCCCTTTCACCAACACCACACTATCTTCTGATTATTGTTGCTTTGTAGTATGTCATGAAGTTAGACATATCAGTCCCCTAGCTCTTCTCCTGAAGAATGTTGTGTTGGCTATTATAACTTGCTAAGGTTTTCTTTTTTCAGCTGGGATTGCATTCAATCTGCAGATCACCTTGGGAATAACTAACATCTTGAAAATACAGAGTCTTTCTATTCATGAGCATGCAGTATCTCTCTATATACTTAGTTCTTCTTTGGATTCCTTCACCAAAATTTTATGGTTTCCCTCAAATAGACCTTCTGCATATTTTGACAGATTTATACCTAAATGTTTCATTTTCTGGGTGATGGCGTGCTTTCAATTTCAAATTCCCCTTGTGCATTTGTGGTATATGGGAAAGTGGTTGAATATCCTAACCTTGTATCCTGCAGTCTTAGTTCCAGGAGCTTGTGGTCTTAGTGGGAAAGTTTCTAGTTTATCAACATTAAGTGTGATGTTAGTTGTAGGTCATATGTAGATATTTGTTATTCACTTCATGGAGTTATTATCCATTCCTACTTTACTGAGAGTTTTTAACATGAATGGATATTAGACTTTGTCATATTTTTTTCTTTAATAATATAATCATGTGACTTTTTTCTTGTTTAACCTGTTGATGTGATACATTACATTCATTGATTTTCAAATGTCAAGCCAACATTTTATATTAACATAAATCTCACTTATATTGTATAATTCTTTTTAAACATTATTGATTAAATTTAATAATAGTTTATTAGTAAATGGTTATGCAATATTGGTCTGTAGCTCTCTTACCCTGTAATGTCTTTGGGGATTAGTGTAATGCTGGCCTTATAGAATGAGTTAGGAAGTATTCTCACCGCTCTGATCTTGAAGAGACTGTAGACAATTTCTTCCTTAAATATTTGGCAGAATTCACCAGTGAACCCATCTGGGCCTGGTGCTTTCTGCTTTCAAAGGCTATTAATGACTTATTTCATTTCATTAATAGATACAGGCTATTAGGATTGTCTATTTGTTCTTATTTGAGTTTTTGCAGTTTATGTCTTTCAAGAAATTGATCCATTTCATCTAAGTCATCAAATTCCTAGGCATAAAGTTGTTCATAGTACTATTTTTTAATGCTGGTGGGATTTGTAGCAATGGTTTCCTCCTCCATTCACTTATAGAAATTTGTATCCTCTCTCATTTTTAATGTTGGTGGGATTTGTAGCAATGGCTTCCTCCTTCATTTCACTTAAAGAAATTTGTATCCTCTCTCATTTTTAATGCTGGTGGGATTTGTAGCAATGGCTTCCTCCTTCTTTTCATTTATAGAAATTTGTATCCTCTCTCATCTTTTATTTGTTTGCCTCACTAGAGGCCTACTGATGTATTGTTCTTCTCAAAGACATTGTTTTTGGTTTTACTGATGCTCTCTATTGAATTTTGGTTTTTAATTTCCTTGATTTCTGCTCTAATATTTACAATTTTCAGTATTTCTTTTTCTTAGTTTGGATTTAGTATTCTCCCTTTTTTCTCATTTCTAAAGAGGGCAGCATAGTGACTGATTTTAGATCTTTCTGCTTTTCTGATATTTGTTTCAACACTATCCATCTCCCCCAGCACTACCTTCACTACACCATGCAAATTTTGATAAGTTATGTTTTCATTTTCTCTTGAGATTTCTTCTATGACACATGTAGTTAGAAGCATGTTCTTTACTTTGCAAATACTTTGGAATTTTCTAACTATCTTCCAATTTTTGCTTTCCAGTGCAATTCCTCTTTGGTGTGAGAGCAGAGATTTACATGATTTCTGTTCTGATTTTTGAAGGAAACTTTTATGCCCTAGACTGTGGTCTAGCTTGGCGAATGTTTCGTGTGGGCTTCAGAAGGACATGCATTCTGTTGTTGGATGAAATTGTCTATATCCAGTTGGAGGAAGCAGTGTTACATCCAGTTGACTCATGTGCTGTGGAGTTCAACTATACCTTTAGTGAATTTCTTCCTAATGATTCTACCCATTTCTCAGAGTGGTATTGAGGTCTGCAACTCTAAATGTGGATTCGTCTTTTCCTTCTTGGAGTTGTACCAGTTTTTGCCTCATGTATCTTGACACTCTGTTATTAAAGGCACACATGTTAAGGATTGTTATTTTATTAAAATTTTTTTTAAATTTTAAATTTAAATTAAATTTTAATATTTAAAATTTAAATTAAATTTTATTTAATTCTTTTAGAGTCTCACTCTGCCCAGGCTGGGGTGCAATGGCATGATCTTGGCTCACTGCAACCTCTCCTTCCCAGGTTCAAGAGATTTTCCTGCCTCAGCCTTCCGAGTAGTTGGGATTACAGATGCCCATTACCATGCCCAGCTAATCTTTTGTATTTTAGTAAAGACAGGGTTTCGCCATGTTGGTCAGGCTGGTCTTGAACTCATGATTCTGTGATCTGCCCACCTCAGCCTGCCAAAGTGCTGGGATTACAGGTGTGAGCCACTGTGCCTGGCCAAGGATTGTTATAATTTTCTTAGATAATTTATTGATTCTTTTGTAATGCCTCACTTTATCCATGACAGGGTTTTCTCTGAAATCTGCTCTGAGATTAATATAACTAATTTCACTTTCTTTTGATTAGTGTTACTATGGCATATTTTTCTTTACCTATTTGTTTTATGTGTCTTTAAAGTAGGCTCTTATAGAAAATAGTTGGGTCTTATTTTTTTCATTCACTCTGACAATTTATGTCTTTTAATTGGTGCACTTAAACCATTGATATTCAAAATGATTGTTGACATAATTGGATTACTATAAACCACACTTATTACTGTTTTCTATTTGTTGGCTTTTTTCTTTTATTCCAATTTTTGCCCTTTACTCTTTTTTTTTTTTTGTCTTTTGTGGTTTTAACTGAGCACTTGATTTTTTCCCCATTTTCTGTCCTTTCTTAGTATACAAGTTGTACCTTTTTAGTGGTTTCTGTAGAGTTTGCAGTTTACAAAAAATACAAATCACTCTCAAATAAGATTATAGCACTTTGTAAACAATGTAGGTACCTTATAATAACAAAATAATCCTAATTCTTTTCTCCCATTTCTTTCTTTGTATTTTTCCAGTTATTCATTTCTGTCATACACACACACAGTCAAGTTCATGGCTGACATTTGAACAGTTATCCATTAGACCTGCTAAATCAAGTTGAGCCCGAAGCTGCCTCCTTACATATTTTAAGTGTGGCCCAAGTGTCTCTCTGTAAATCGTGAACTATAACAAGCACAGGTGTGAACAGACCGCGGCATACACTTGTGCCAGTCACCAAATTTTCACCAATCAAATGGAGCTGTTTGAACTGTGTTCAAATAAGGCAAACGCTAAGCTGTGACCTGTCCAGCTGTTTCTGTGCCTCAGTTCCGTTTTCTTATGTCACTTTCCTTTTTCTGTCCCTAAGTCTTTTCCCAGCACAGGCTGTGCCCGAGTCTCCAAGCCTCTTCTGTCAGGGAAGGCTGCCCCATTCGTGAGCTGTTTATCGCTCCATTACACTCTTTTAAATTTAATTCGGCTGAAGTTTTTCTTTTGTCGGAGGGTGTCAGACAGCAGGTCTGAAGGAGACCTTCTAGTGACCCCCAGGAGTGCTGAGTAAACAGGCCAGGTGCCCGCAGGACCCGCTCGTGTCCGTTGATCTCTCAGAGCCTCTGGGGATAGTGGTAAGTCCTGTCTCAAATTTCAGAGCTGCACGAATCCATGAGTGTTGAGCTCTCCGAGTTTCTCGGAGCAAATTCCTCATCCCAACTGGGTTTGGGAGTCACGACAGAAACTCGACTGAGTCCAAGAGTGGGTTCGATCTGGTAATTAACTGGTTTGAACCCAGTTAGAGGTCTCTTACATCCAACTAGTAAATGGTAACATTGCAGGGGATGAAAAATTTCGGTTTTGGAAATTCACAGGGATTTACCCCTTTGTTTCATTTTTGTTTTAAAGCGAAGGTAGGAAAAAGAGATTCACTGGCTAAGCTAATCAAGGGAACCTGAGAGCAAAGTCAGTATGTTAGATAAAAATGGGATTTTTAATTTCTGAAGGACTGAGTTCCTTCTGGCTTATACATGCTTAAGTATTAGGCCCTGGAAGCAGCAAAGTCTCACAGAAATGGTGAAATCTTGCTAAAGATAACTTACAGTGGAATGTTCCAAATGAACAACAGTGCATTTGAAAATGAGGGCTTCCAAATCAGTCTCATCTGGGAATACTTAATGATATGCAGAAGCTTCTAAAAAGATTTCAATATTTTCAACGGCTTTGTGAAAGACAAATAAAAAGCGTAAGCAGCTAATAGCTTTTGAAAAATTAAATCTGCTAACCCTTTAGCTATCCCACTCCACAGGAAATAGACTGCAGCGCCAAGGGGCTGACTTGGTTTAATTACTGCGGTACCTTTTACTCAGGTAAAGGATGGAATTGAGAGACCCTCCCCTCAGTAAAGTCACTCTTGGTCATAAATGGACTTGGTACCCTGGGATGTTAACCGCTCTTCTCTTTGGATCAATCTGCCTCGCACCCTTTGCTCTCAGCTGTGGCTTACAGGGGTGGGCATGGACAGGACTGTGGAATGTGGGGAACTGTTTCTCCCCAAAGGGAAAAAGTTGAGAGCTGATGGGACTGCTGGAAAAGATTATCAACCAATAAGCTGCCACCTGAACTTTAATTCAGTGTCTCTGCAATGGGTGGGTCCTTCTCTGGCCTCCCTGAGCTCGTTTCCTTAGACGGCACAGGCAATGCTCTCTCTCACTCCTTCACTGTGCAAACTGGTTGCAGGAATGGTAAAAATCACTACCTCTTGCAAAGTTTTAATTAATAGGAAAAAGGACTCATGAGGCTAGTCTTAAGCTGTAGCGAATCTGGTGAACTTTGTGCTATGAATTTGTCTTTCTGTGTCATTCTGTCACGAAGAGGGGGACCTTAAAATAGAACGTGAGCTTAGGACTCCATAAGCTTGCTATTCAAGACGGCCCGGCCAGCTGGTCAGGAATAAACTTTGTTACCTGAGTCTGCAGCAGACATAACGGGATGAGGTCTCCATCTGGTTTACGTCTTTGTGAGCTTGACCTTGTAACCATGGAATAGCACTTTCTCTTGGTCTCTGCCGACTAAGGAACAGGAATTTTGAAGTTTATGTCATAGTTAGCTCTATAAATCATCTTGGGTACTTAAAAGCCATTGCCACCTCAAAACTGACTTCTCTACCCTTCTGAGGAGAGCAGAAACTACCCAGTGTTGTAACTCAGCAGCTAAGACTGCCACTTTACAATGGTGGCCCGGGGTCAGTGTTGGCTTAGGGGGTAAGTACTTGCTGGTTGATACTTGTGTGACCTTTACCATCTGTCGATTCTCTTCCCCTCCATGAACAACTTCTGGCTTCCCTTCCTGAATTTTTCCTTCTTTGAGCTACCTTTGAAGATTCTAGATTTTGTAAAAACTGCTTACCACCTCTTTAAAAATACTTTGTACGCCATGGTTAAGTCATAACCTGTGAGGTTACTTTTGGTAAAGTTTGAAAGCAATAAATACTGGCTGTTTGGCCTGATTAAAGTAGGGTCATAAGTTTAGGAGGACTTTTTTTTTTTAAGAGGGCTGTGGTTAAAAGTCAGCTTAGTTAAAAATTGATATCCAAGCTCTACCTACATTTAAAAGGCCTTTATGGTTTGTTTTTTTCTCTTCTTGAATCTTGTTTTTCTGGAAAAAAGATTTTCTCTTTTTTCTCAGTTGACTGAATTATTCTTCTCCATTTTGTCTTGCCACCGTTGAGGCACACAGGAGAGAACCTAAGAGAACGTTAACAGCTTGGCACTCTTTGGGAAGAGCAGGAAGGCACCATAGATCCCGTCCTGGGAAAATCCCGTTTCCCTCGTGAAACCCCAGGAAGTGAAAGTGGATAGAGCTCTCTCAAAAATCGAAGACTCTGATTTGCTTCACATTGTGTTATCTAAAGGTTTTGAGTGTGGGGGTATCAGAAATTACTTCACAACATGAGAGAGCTTTGGTGTGTAGTAACTAGGTAGGTAGTGTACTTTGGGGTTTGGCTAATGGCAGTTGTGGAGGGATATTCGGCTCTTTGCAGATTTAGATCAGAGAGGCGTGTTCTTGGCCACTTGGCAGGTATAGAGATCTTCCTCCCCCCAGAGAGAACAGAATCTGCTGGGGGACGGGCTAATCACAGGATGGGCTGATTGGCCTTGGGTTGCTTTGCGGTAAAATGCATTGTGCTGTCTTCTCCCATAGCATGTCCCTCTTTTTTGGGATCCGTGATCCATGATGCAGAATAAAACCGGGACCCTTGATTGCGGAGAACAGGTTTTGCCTTCCAAGTGTAGCTGCTTATTAGGACCTAGGAACTGCCTGCTTTCCCGGCCCCGTTCCTTGAAGGGACCCACCCTGAAGCCAGTAATGCAAACAAGAAACTGGCAAATGAAAAACCCCACAGCCATTAGATCTTCTGCCTGTCTGTGTAGTTACATGTGCGTGTGTGATGTTTATATAAAAGAACTCTAATTAAGTGGCTTAAATAAAAATAAGGACTTAAATATTTTGAAAGAAAAATAAAAATTGTAATGCCTTTTGTTCATGTGACTTTAGTAATCTTTGGCAAAATAAAGACATTCGGTCTAAATTAGGCAGGTCAGATATTAGGTTTGCTAAATGCTTTAAAAGGTCATAAACCGCTACTTTGTGTTTTGAAAATTGTTCGCCTGTAATCCCAGCACTTTGGGAGGCCGAGGGGGGTGGATCACGAGGTCAAGAGATCGAGACCATCCTGGTCAACATGGTGAAACCCTGTCTCTACTAAAAATACAAAAAATTAGCTGGGCATGGTGGTGCGTGCCTGTAATCCCAGCCACTCAGGAGGCTGAGGCAGGAGAATTGCCTGAACCCAGGAGTCGGAGGTTGCGGTGAGCCGAGATCACGCCATTGCACTCCAGCCTGGGTAACAAGAGTGAAACTCCGTCTCAAAAAAAAAAAAAAAAAAAAAAGAAAAGAAAATCGTTCAACCTGCCTACTTTACAGTAAGGCTTAGGGAAATGTGGAGTTAGCCAGGCACCCTAGCTATGCTGGAAAGAGTCTTTTTATCTGCACTTCTGTCTGGTACTGGCTCCACACCTAGTACATAATTAAAATCACTTACTAACCAGATTTTTCACCAAAAGTTGCTGAGAGTTAACAGCTAAAGAAACAGTTTTACATGCAAGGTGTGTAAGGAAAGTGAAATGTACCTTTAGGAAAAGATTATAAGAAGGCATAAGAATGTAAATTTTTGCCCAGCTTAAAGGGTTAAAGGACTGTTTTAAATGAAATAGAATAAAACTGAACATTTGAGCAAGTCATAAAAGGTTTGTGAAAAATTAGTCTTGTAAAAAATCCCATGTGTGAATATATGGGCTAAAATTAAAAGGGCATGATGCAGCTTATCTGGAAATTGAGCATTGGAATAAAGATACAACCAATGTTTTCTTAGCACACTGATCTGCTCCTTAACAAAAATTTGTAAAGGGTTATAAAAGGTTTATGAGAATATTATCTTAGGGTCAAATTAAGATTGGATAAATTTGCCCATGAGCTTTTATTAATGACTGCTCAAAGACTGGAGTTAATATTAACAGTACACTAATGTGAGGGTGAATCTTGCTTTTCTATCTTGAACAAGACTTTCATGTAATATTCAAGGATAATGGAAGATCTTTGCTTGCCTTTTGAATAAACTACCAAAAAAAAAATAAAGAAGAGAAATACGAGACAGATTGTTTAGAAAGCTGTCTTCTATCAGTGAATAAAGTTTTTTGGCTTACGGTATTTTTTAAAGTCATCATTTTGGCTAAATGAATGACTTATGGTGACCTGGCATTCTATTTTATATCAAGTGTTTTAACATTTAATATATTTGATAGGCTTCCCAAAATCAAATTTCAGCTTCAGAATGGTCTTTTTTGACCTCTATCGTCGAGATGCTACAGAAGGTCCCAGAAACATCCAAAAAGGAGGTAAACAGGACTCTCTGACATGCTAAGTTACATGGGAAGTGTTGTCAGAATAAAAAATCATGTGAAACTCTCTTCAGGTTACATCTTAGTGAATGATATTAATATATATTCCAAACTTATGTGGGATTCTAAAATTCTAGTGAGTGTATGTTATCCATCATAATTATGATTATTATGCTAAGTTATTGAAACCACAGAAATAACTAGATTGCCTTGTGGATCGTGTCTTTAACTGTGGCTATTTAAAGTCATTTCCACTGCTAATTGCTTAATTCTTATGCAATTTCCGGAACCGTTGCAAGCACAAAATCCTAGAATATGGTGTCTTTTAGGAGGTTCATGAAACGATGAAAAGGACTCTGGAAAGCACTCTTGAATACACGTTTCTGGTAACTTCAAAATCATGATTTGAACAGAGTAAGGTTTCCTGGAACTGTAACGAAAAGACTAACTGGTTTATAAAACTGCTAACCCAAGGAGAATTAAAATTAACTGATACCGAGAAAATACTTTGCCAGATTTCCTTGCTGAATCAGCCAATCGTGAAATTGTTTAGATATACAACTTCGATAAACTCCATGGGCTAAGTCAAATTGCCTATTGTCAGTCCTGTGTACCTAAGGTGGAGAAGCAACTGGTGTTCAAGAGGACCTACGTGCAACCTTAACTAAGCATGGACTCCTTAGAACCAGCACCACTTCCGTGTCCTTCCTGAGTGCTCGTATGTTGATTAAGCATGGACTCCTTAGAACCAGCACCACTTCTGTGTCCTTCCTGAGTGCTCATATGTCAATTAAGCATGGACTCATTAGAACCAGCACTGCTTCCGTGTCCTTCCTGAGTGCTCGTATGTCAATTAAGCATGGACTCATTAGAACCAGCACTGCTTCCGTGTCCTTCCTGAGTGCTCGTATGTCAATTAAGCATGGACTCATTAGAACCAGCACTGCTTCCGTGTCCTTCCTGACTGCTTGTATGTTAATTAAGCATGGACTCATTAGAACCAGCACCGCTTCCGTGTCCTTCCTGAGTGCTCGTATGTCAATTAAGCATGGACTCATTAGAACCAGCACCGCTTCCGTGTCCTTCCTGACTGCTTGTATGTTAATTAAGCATGGACTCATTAGAACCAGCACCGCTTTCGTGTCCTTCCTGAGTGCTCGTATGTCAATTAAGCATGGACTCATTAGAACCAGCACTGCTTTCGTGTCCTTCCTGAGTGCTCGTATGTCAATTAAGCATGGACTCATTAGAACCAGCACTGCTTCCGTGTCCTTCCTGACTGCTTGTATGTTAATTAAGCATGGACTCATTAGAACCAGCACCACTTCTGTGTCCTTCCTGAGTGCTCGTATGTCAATTAAGCATGGACTCATTAGAACCAGCACTGCTTTCGTGTCCTTCCTCAGTGCTCGTATGTCAATTAAGCATGGACTCATTAGAACCAGCACCGCTTCCGTGTCCTTCCTGACTGCTTGTATGTTAATTAAGCATGGACTCATTAGAACCAGCACCGCTTCTGTGTCCTTCCTGAGTGCTCGTATGTCAATTAAGCATGGACTCATTAGAACCAGCACTGCTTTCGTGTCCTTCCTCAGTGCTCGTATGTCAATTAAGCATGGACTCATTAGAACCAGCACTGCTTTCGTGTCCTTCCTGAGTGCTTGTATGTCAATTAAGCATGGACTCATTAGAACCAGCACTACTTCCTTGTCCTTCCTGAGTGCTTGTAGCTTTTGTAATTAACAATTCTGCATTACATGAGTCACCCTGGAAAAGATAAAATGAGTGAAATTAAATATATATTGGTGTGGTGACTTCTAACCTGCTAAAGTAGTTACGACCAACATTTGGTTTGCCAAATCCATATTCCTGGGAAGAGAATCAAAGCCGCAGGCCCATTCAGCTACCTGATGAGCCATTTAACATTCATAGAGGAATTTCATTCCATGGTCATTTTCAGTACATGTTTTCTGGTTATATAAAAGCTTTCCCATGCAAAAGGGCTAATGCTATAACAGTGGATTATTATGCTACAGTGTACTGTCACTGGATAAAGAAAGCTTTTTAAGGCTTATGGACTGAGGACAATCAACCTCAGTCACAATCTAAAACCCAAACACTGGCCCTTCTGAGAAAAGACTGCCCTTGCCACTCACACTGCAACAAAACTTCAGGACCTTGAACCTTGGGTTCATAATATCATGACTGAGTAGGATCCTTCCACACTCTTGGAACTATACACCCATTGGAACCCTTAAGGTAAAGCTAACCTGAGAAGTTTCTCCCCAAAAGAAGATGGCATCCTTGATGTGAACAGCTTTTTCTAAGATCACAGAGCAAGACTTCTATGCTATCATGAGGGTCTTATCTTTGAATATTTTCCCCTTGCTTGTGCCTCTATGAACAACAGAAGTGAAAAGAGGGTCTGTTGTGTGCACTTATCGGGTATATTTTTATTTGCAAAGAATTTTGCAGCCAAACTTATGCATGGGTAAACTTATATGTTGGTAGATAAAAGACAAAGGCCCAGTGTAAGTGAGAAACTTTAATTGTACATGTGTTGCCTCATAGTCAGTCAGAAACAGAACATCGGTTCACTCTTTTTAACTCCCATCACGGGTTAAAAAGAACATTGCTAGGAGACCTTCAGTGTTCTAGAAGGGCATCGTCTCTTAGGTCATTTTTCCACAGTTTGGAGTAAAAGAGGCAATGATTGAAAATGTATCTCTCATGATAGGCTCTGTAGAAAATCCTACTGTAAAGGCTATGGTCACCTAACAGACTTTAAACTACCTTGTGAAAGCTATGCTAAATAATATATTTGCTCAGATTACTTACTGGCTAAACAGAAGCATCTGTGTAGCTGCTGGCACTTGTGGCTCATGGAGGAAACACTGGGTATTACAGAGATTCAGTTGTAGGGAATTAGCAGGGAAACTGCTTAGTTAAGTGAGTAGACTATCTAGCTCATGCTTTGATCTATTGTATTTTAGACTGTTTGGTTTATGGGGATCCTGGGTAAGAAGCATACTCCAAACTCTCGATATAATCATAATAGTAGTTTCCCTTGGTGCACTGTATTCTCTCAAAAGTTTCAAATGTCTAGATGCAGCCATCTCTGGAATGTCAAATGGTCTCTCTTCAACTGGAATGACAAGACCTGAAAGAAATGTGTGACCTTGAGGACACTGTAGCCTATGAATGACATGCTGCAACCAGAAACCCAAAATGATGGTAATGAGAGTGACGCTAGAGCCCTAAGTTTTGATCACACTCTTACCTAAGTGAGAACCTGGTTAAAAAGGGAATTTTCATGTCTCTGTCTCCTTCAATTCTGCTCTGATTTTGGTTATCTCTTGTCTCCTGCCAGCTTTTGAATTTGTTTGCTCTGATTCTCTAGTCCTTTTAATTGTGACGTCAGGGTGTTGATTTTAGATCTTTACACTTTCTCATATGGTCATTTAATGCTATAAATTTCCCTCTAAACACTGCTTTAGCTGTGTCCCAGAGATTCTGGTTGTGCCTTTGTTCTCATTGGCTTTGAAGAACTTATTTATTTCTGCCTTAATCTCGTTATTTACCCAGTAGTCATTCAAAAGCAAGTTGTTCAGTTTCCTTGTAGTTGTGCAGTTTTGAGTGAGTTTCTTAATTCTGAATTCTAATTTGATTGCACTGTGGTCTGAGAGACGTTTGTTATGATTTCTGTTCTTTTACATTTGCTGAGGCGTGTTTTACTTCCAATTATGTGGTTACTTTTAGAATAAGTGATGTGTGGTGCTGAGAAGAATGTGCATTCTGTTGATTTGGAGTGGAGAGTTCTGTAATGTCTATTATGTCCCGGATCTGTGGTTTGGTCCCAAACATCAATTTGGGAGAAATTCTCACTCATTACACACTCAACTACTTCTTCTGTTCTTTTCTATCCTCAAGCTGCAAACAGACTTTTCTCAGCTTTGTCCATGTCCAGTCTAGTGATATGCCTAAAAATGCCTTTTTATAAAAATGTGTTTTTATAAAATGACATTTTCCATTTCTGTTACAGTGTTTTTGATGTCCAGCATATCTTTTTGATTCTTTCTTAGGATTTCCATCTCTCTGCTTACACTTTCCAACCATCTTCATGCCAATCAATTTATTCATTAGAGCTCAGCATAGTCATTCTAGTTGTTTAAAATTTTCAGTTTGCTAATTCCAACACCTCTGCTATATCTGATTTTGATGCTTGCTCTGTCTCTTCACACTGTGTTTTTTGCCTCTTACTGTGTCTTGTAATTTTTAACTGGTAACCATAAATAATATACTTGATAAAAGGAACTGCAGTAAACAAGCTTTTAGCACTGTGGTGGTCATACACAAAGAAGGGGCGGCATTCAGTAGCCTTATGGTTACATGATGAGGTGTCAGCCTTTTAGAGAGTCTGTGCCTCTGGCCGGGCGTGGTGGCTCACGCCTGTAATCCCAGCACTTTGGGAGGCCGAGGCGGGTGGATCACGAGGTCAAGAGATCGAGACCATCCTGGTCAACAAGGTGAAACCCCGTCTCTACTAAAAATACAAAAAATTAGCTGGACATGGCGGCGCACGCCTGTAATCTCAGCTACTTGGGAGGCTGAGGCAGGAGAATTGCCTGAACCCAGGAGGCGGAGGTTGCGGTGAGCCGAGATCACGCCATTGCACTCCAGCCTGGGTAACAAGAGGGAAACTCCGTCTCAAAAAAAAAAAAAAAAAAAGAAAGAAAAAGAAAAAGCCTCTAGGAGAGTCTGTGCCTCTGTACTGTGAATTTCACATGTGCTTCTGAATTCCTTCCCCCTCCATTAGATAGGACGCAGTGGCTGCTGGCATATTTCCTTGTCACCAGGACACGTAGGCTCTTATGAAACCTCATCGGGTCAGGCTCTGGTTGAATAGTTTTCTCCTGAGAGCAGACATTATTAAGAAAACAGAATGCTTTAGCATAGTTTAAAATGATTCCTCTCCCCTCTGCCTGCCAGAAGCATGAGGGAGTTTTTCTCTGATAGTCACTATGAGGATCTAGTAAAATTCAAGATGTTAAAACTCACACGAGGATGGTGTCTTAGTCCACTGGTGTTTCTATACCAGAGTGCCTAAGACCAGATAAGTCACAGAGAACAGAAATCAATTTCCCACAGTTCTGGAGGCTGGAAAGAGGTCTGGTTGCCTGGCAGGGACCTGGGCTCTGCTTCCAATGTGGTGCCTGAAATGCCACATCCTCCATAGAGGAGAAGTGCCATGTCCTCATATGGTGGAAAGCTGAAGGGCAAGTGCACTGGACACTGCGTACGGCCTCTTGAATAAAGATGTTGACCTCATTCACAGGGAGCAGCCCTCATGGCCTAATCACCTTTCAAAGACCCCACGCTTTAACATTGCCCCACTAAAGGGATAGTATTTGCCACTTATAGTTCAGGATTTCCTGCCCTCACATTGGTTCCCACAAGGGTTGATGCTCCGGGCTTTCTGTTGTGGTAAGTTGCAATTCACTATATTTTCCTCTTTCTAGTCTTCCTTCTGTAACTTATTTCTAGTTTCATTCCATTCTGGAAAAAGAAATTTGTATGATTTGATACTCGAAATAGCATGACTTATTTTATGACCTAATATACTGTAATGAAAAAAAAAACACAAACTTTTTTTCTCTGTTCTCACACCACAAAATCAATACAGACAATTCCTACGACCAAACGTGCCAGCATTTCTCCCCAGCAGCAAGCAAGCAACTCTGCTGTGGACATGAGCCTTCTGGCTAACTGGCTATAAATTGGGACTCCCATGACCCCCTCCTTATGTTAGACTAATTTCCGAGAGCAACTCACAGAACTTGGAAACACTTAACGTTTACTAGTTTATCATAAAGAATGTTACAGAGGATAAAGATGAAAAGGTGCATAGGGTGAGGCACGGAGGAAGGGGCCTGTGGCTTCAGTGCTCTCCTGGTAAAACAAAAATACAATCTCAGGACCTCAAACTCACTAAGCCAAAGTCAGAAGTCAAGCTGGGAGCTGAGTCATGCAAACCTGCCTCCTGTTTTTTTCCTAAATAGATGAATATGTGCCTTCCTCACGTTTTGCTCACAAGAAAATCTCCTATGGGCCCCAGGATCTTCACCCTAAAGTGGTTCTGCTAATTTTCACCCTGACAATATACGTTAACAGCTTATCTTCACAGGCATGGACAAAGGACAGAACAAAAAGTTCTTCCTCTGCTCACCTGAGTCAATGAGCAGTGGGAGTTGCAGTGGCTCATGCCTGTAATCCCAGCACTTTGGGAGGCTGAGACAGGTGAATCACAAGGTCAAGAGATTGAGACCATCCTGGCCAACATGGTGAAACCCTGTCTCTACCAAAAATACAAAAATTAGCTGGGTGTGGTGGAATGTGCCTGTAATCCAGGGTACTCGGGAGGCTGAGGCAGGACAATTGCTTGAACCTGAGAGGCAGAGGTTGCAGTGAGCCAAGATCGTGGCACTGCACTCCAGCCTGGTGACAGAGCAAGATTCCATCTCAAAAAAAAAAAAAGTAAGCAGCTGTTACTAGCAGTATTTACCCTCCAGGTCCCAAAGGAAAGGTGAAAGGCTTCAGGCATGTTGGAAGTCTGCACCCACAAAATTCTTTGCTGGCCTCCCATAAGCAAGGCCATGCCAATTGTAACTTTAGGCCTACAATCCAAATCTAGCTCCTAAGGCTCCACACTGATAATGTCAATTACTAGCTTATCTCCCCAGGTGCAGAACAAAGGCAAGATGAGGTTAATAATTCCTTCACCCCTCCCTGAGTTGCTACACAATTGTTTTCTTCCTCCATTCCCTTTTTCTTCAAAGGTTCAGCAGTTCTTATGTAAAATATAGATTTATTGGGAACTGAAGTCTCACAAGTATGTAACCATTCTCCTCACCACCTCCTCTGCTTTTTAAGAAAAGTATAGAAACACTAAGCCTGCTGAGAACCTCTTTGGAAAGAACGGTTGTGTCTGTGACTTGTCTTCCGGGCACACCCTCAGGGTGGCTTGACACACCTCAGTTGGTTGAGACAGCTGCTGTAGTCACCTGTTTGGTCATCAACACCATCTTGGAAGCAGAGAGCAGTCCTCGCAGACAACCACATCTGCTGGCCGATGCCTTGATCTTGGATTTCCCAGCCTCCATAACTGTGAAAAATTAGATTTCTGTTCTTTGTAAATTACCCAGTGTACAGCGTTTTCTTATGGTAGCACGAATAGAGTCAAATAGAGGCAAAGCTCATGGCTTACCACTTCATGGGGCGGTGCAATCCTATAGCACCAAAAATGAGGATAATGGCAATAACTTTACAGGAAATGTGACTAAGTTCTAATTTCTTGTCACATGAGGCATGTATAAACAGCCCAGGAAGAAGGGTCTGCCAGCGGAAAACAGAGAAAAGGATTCATCTGTCTGCTCCCTCCTGCTCCTTCTTTCCCAGGACTACATTCTCCTCATGAGGATTGCCTTCCCGAGAACCCCTCCAGATAGCATTGGCAGCCACTGCCATAGCTGCTGAGAAAGCCAGAACCCTACCCCCTGGTAAAGGAACTCATATGGATTGTGAAGCCACAGGAGAAGCCAGAAGTGCCACAGTCTGCTGGGATTGTGCAGAGGCACTGGGGCACTGGGGCATTGCGGACACAAGGGAGGCCATGCCAGAGCCCTGCTAGCACTTCACGGACACACGGCTGGTGCTCGGGGAGAAAGCAAAAGGTGGGGCAGCAACCTGGGCTCTGTATTAAACGAGCGGCATGGGGTAGGTGGGCTGAGTGGCTGCGGGGGGCGGGGGGGGCGGTAAATGAAGCTGGCCCAGTACAGCACGCACCTGGTGTGGGCGGCTTCACTGTGCTGTCTGCCTGTTCCTGCTCCCTCAGGAACAGAGCTGAAATTCATTACCCTGCTGTGTGTCTCAATCACTCACTCACCACATGAGCTTTCTGGGGCATTAGATAACAGTCAGACAAATGCAGGGGCAAATGGCAGAGGACCTGTAAAGATGCCAGGATTGCAAAGTGCTGTAGTATCCACGGGGATTGAATGCCGAGTTATCACCTAAGTTATTTTAATGCCTCATTAGAATCAAGAAGCTTTATGTTTTCCATTTTGAGGGGGAAAACTTCCTTTTCGTCCAGGCTGGTGCTCTTCCCTACAGGTTAATCTCTGTCTCAGTTTTACTGAGTTAGGAGATCGGTTCACATCTGGTTCTGCTCTGACCAACTCCAGGATTCTGCCGTTGGCTCGGAGAAACTTATATCATGTTATGCTCATCTGTTCAGGTGGGAAGAAACCGGAAACAAGCATATCCTAGAAGAGCAGAGGCACCCCTGGCTTCAGGATGGGTGTGAGGAGAAACTTCCTTTTCCTTTCTTTTTCCATATAAGCAGTTCTGAGACTCCTTTCACAAGTTCCTCAGATGATGGCACTGGCGTGGGGCACCCACGTCGGGGCTCACACTCAGGGGATCACCCTCTTTCTTGTCTTAGCTCCTTGCCCTGAACCTCTGCCCCTAAGGTCTAGTTCCTAAATAAATACCCGGGTCCAAGCCTTGCCTTAGGAGATCACACACACACGCATACATGCATGCACACTCACACACATGTGCACACATACACGCACACACGCACATGGATGGCACACGCACACATGCACACACAGACATGCACACACACATACACACGTGCACATGCAGACACACCCACACCACAATGCTTGCACACCCACACCCCACATCTCTTCTATCTTAATGAAGTTAGTGATTTTGGTTTACCACCAAACCCAGGGCCCAAGCTGACCTTCAAAACCTGAGGTTTGCTCTTTAACCCTTCCCTTCATTCTTCCCATTTTTTTTCATGCCTTGGGAAGGGAACTAGGGTGCAACATTTACTGAGTTCATGTAGTGTTGTAGGTGTTTCCACGGGTGTATACATATATTTTATATTTCTCACCGTAACCCATGACAGAAAACGTTCCTAGATGTATGATATGATGAGCACATGAAGCTCAGTAAGTTTCTGACGTCAGATTTTGTCTTAACTGATCCTGCCTGGCTCTTCAGGCCTTCAGAGGAGGGTCTGGAGGAAGAAGTGTTCTTGCCCCAAAGAAGGGTTGGGCGGAGTTCAGTTGAGATGCCAGAGTGCTGTGTGGGAAGAACTGCCAGAAAACAGGAAATCTGATTTCTCCACAAAACCATCTGATTTTTCTCAACGACCGACAGAAATTGTCAGGAAACCTGGCTTGCTGTGGTCACCTTGCCCTTTCCGTAGAAATGGAAACAGAATGGCACTGCATGTTATTCAGGAGAATGGTGATGACTCATGCTGCAGATGAGAGCTGAGACATTTCAACAGTGAGTGATCAAGGATTAGTGGCTTCATGGGGGGCTAGTATTTTTGCCTGCCACCCCCAGAGGATAAGGGGGTTCAATTTAAGGCATCTCAGGGACACATTGATAGTGGGTGCAACTATACAGGGCAGCAGAATCAGAGAGCCCATCCACCCTGGTCCGGCCAATCAGCTCTGTGCAGAAAGATATAGGAAGGAGCTCAGGTCTTCCCCAAGGACCACCCGGGAGTGAAAAGCCAGAAAGCGATTCAGGCTGCTTCAAATTTCAGCTGCCCTTATTGCCATAGCAATGTAACCGTGACTGAAAATAGCACATACCACTGGCAGAACAGGGGTCCCAAAGCAGTCATGCAGAGGGCACGGCGTGGCTTCTGCCTCATTCTATTGGTGAAGGAGAGTCATGAGGAACCCGAAACTGGAGGGTTGGGGAGATAGACTCCACATCTCAGTGGGAGGAGCTGCTGAGGGCACAGATACAAGGAGGGGTGGGGAAACAGGACCATTTTGCCACCAATCTACCAGGGGACTTATTAGAAGGATTTGTAGGGGAATTATAGGAAATACTGGTGAGCATGAGCTTTCCTGTCTCTTTCTGCCCTCAGTGGATTGGATGAGGCCCATCCACACTGGGGAGAGCCAACTGCTTTACTCAGTCCCCCGATCCAGGTGTTAGCCCCATAGACACACCCTCACAGATGCATCTGGAATGATATTTGTTATCAAACATTTGGGCACTCCGTGGCTTGATCAAGTCAAGCTGATGCATAAACTATACAAATGCATCAAATCTGCTTTACTACCGGGTCCTCTCTGACCCCCGAACTCTTCATCTGCACGTTCACATGTGGAGCCACCATCCTTCTGTGCCTGTGTCTGCCCTCTTGGCAGTTGAGTGCTCTGTTTCTGGAGGCCTGACGCCACCCCGACTGTGTCTCCACACTACCATGAGCTTTGTCTTTTGGAAGCAACCAGCTTCTTCCCAACATCCCCCTCCCAACTGGAACAGTTTTAGTTTGCTCCCGGACATGGAGATCCATCCTGGGACGTGTGCAGACTTTCCAAGGCTGTCTAGGCTGTCCTCCCGGCTACCCTGCTGGCACCCATGTTAACAGCTTTCCACTGTTCTTGCCCCTTAGTGTTCAGCATTCGGAGAAAGTAAGAAGTTCACACTAGAGTTGGGTAGGGTCAGGGACACCCTTCCATTACCTGCTGGTGGGCTGAGCTTCGTGGAAGATTTGAGCTGCCCTAAACCTCACAGAAGACAGAGTCCCGGACATATGAAGAAAATGATGGGAGAAAATGATGACCTTTAATCCACTGACTTTCCAGCGTACATATCTGGCACCTATGGGGAAAAGACTCACCAGATCACCAATCACAGAGGTCCTTCCTCATTCCACAGGAACCCCCCAGACAGGTGGAGAGAGGTCAGTGGCCCAGAGCTTCTGAGAAATAGATGTTATGTCAAGGACCAGGGAACAGAGGGAAGGGATGGTCTCTCCGCCCACTCCCCCTGCCTCCCCACTCTCACCAGGGTCTTGTCCAATAGATCTCCTCTCTCCTCATCAGAATTCTGCTGCTACTTCAAGGGCAAACTCAAAGAGCATTCGGGGCTCCCTAGGACTGTGCCTGTATTTGAAAGGCCTTGCGAAGGCCCTGCTTGTACCTGCACCTGTTTGTGAGGTCCCTGGAACAGCTCTTCTCATGCCACCTGCTGCACGGCCTTGGCAGCGTTACCCAGCAAATGCCCATCAGAGTCAGAACGATTTCTAGTTGAGGCACAATGGCCCAATCAAAGCTCTGAAGGAGGAAGTGACCGCCAAGCTCATCTTTCAGCTAAGAACCCCCTCTCCTCCGCTGCCCTTGGTGCTCCTCTCTTTCAGGCCCTGGAGATAAAGTTTCCCTGGTTTGCAGTTCACTAGAAACACAATCTCTAATCTCTGGTCATTTGAATGTAAAGGCATCACACGGGGTGCCAAAGGCCTCTGCTCACTGTGGGCCGCAGCACCAGGTCTCCGGCCAGACGGCTCAGACTGAGAAGAGCGATGTTCCAAGGACGGGAAGGCTCATGTGCTCTGACTTCACTAAACCCTTGAGCTTATGGCTGTCAACAAGCTTTCTGGGTCGTGTAAATCTGTTCTTTGCTGAGTCAATGGCCTTGTCTTTATTGTGATGTTCCTTCATCAGAACCAGAGCCCAGCAGAAAGTTCAAGGTTCCTGCAGACTGTGAGTCCTACAGATGATTAGCAGGGACGACAAAGGCACCAAGAGCTTTCACATCTGCCAAGCCTGAGGATTGGCATCTGAGTGAGGCCGGGACAAGGCTGCAAGCTTCCAGTCTCAGCACAGACAACAGGACAGGACGCTTAATGTCGTTTCTCAGGGGGGCTCCGGGATGCCCTGATGCTGTGAATACGGAGGCTGTTTCTAGACCTCCTCGCCTCCTTCTTTACTCCTCTTGGTGTTCATGGATTAGCCACAAGCTGTCTTTGGTTCCCCAGGTTGCCTTGAGCCTTGGTCCCGCTTCCTTCATGCTCCCTCCTGCCCCTAATGGGCTGGGCGCCTTGACCTCACACCTGCATCCCTGCAGTGGATAAACTAACCCAACTTCCTGGATGAGCTGAGAGAAGAGTACAAAAATGAAAGCTTCCCTGAAATTCACTTTAGCCGTGCAACGCATGCATTTCCTGGCTTCAAAGTCTGCTGCTGCTGTGATTAACGATGGGTCTGTAGTTCCCCGTTTGTCTGTTTTGCGGCCTAACTTCACGCATCAGAGGAAAAGAAGGGCCATTTGCATTTAAATAATTCAGGATTCTGAAGCTGCTTGTCTACTCTCCATCTTGATGTCCAGAATCAGCAAGTGTGCAGTATTTGGTTATTCCCCTATTGAAACTGCATGTCTTAAAAATTAAAATTACTCATATGCAGACCCAAACAAATGTAGTAGGAACAAATATTGATTTTTCTCATCTTATTTAGCACGGTATATTTGCTGATGTTTTACAGCCCACCCTTAACTAATAGCTGGGACCTCAGTCTGAAAACAGCAGCAATGAACCCCATCAGTCAGAGGAAATAAAGACGGCGCCTGAATATCAGCTCCTGCTCCTGCAGAATCATTTCCCATCTGCCTGAGGGACTCGTTAACACGCCGGCTGTGACGCTGGCCTCTGCCTTCAAGGTCCTTGAAGGAGGAGAGCTGCCACAAAAAAACCTGCTTTGCAGCTCGTTTTTATCTGTTGAAATGAGCTCTCTATTCGAGGACTGGAGTTGGAGTTTATTATTTGTTTTAAATGGGGTCTATTGATCTGATATGCTCGTATTTTGGAGATGCTTTTACATGTCCCATCTGCCTCACATGCTGTACAATCAA